TGTAGTGTTTTTTTGGCTTCCCTCTTTCTCGATCAAAACATATTAGAGGAATATAGAAAGTTTTGTACTGCTCCCCATGTTAGGGGAATGATGATCATCCTAATATTATAAAATCCCTTGCTGGCAACGTTAATCAGTCGAGAATATTACCAAAATTTCTATTCGTGGCCTCCACCCAAATCGTAGAAACACTTGGAAATGAAATTTTGTGACTTGGTCATGTGTGTGTGTGTGAGAGAGAGAGAGAGAGAGAGAGACTGACTGTGTGTTTAAGCAAAAACTCTATTTTGAAAGAGAATTCGGTAAAGGGGTACCAATATGGAGGGAGGAGTGATTCGCGGCGTCATTCCTAATTTTCATAATTTGAATATAGGTAAAATATTTATATAAAAAATTAAGATGGTTAGATATTAATTTTTATATATTTAAATTAAATTTATATTATAAAAATAGATAATTATTTTTAAAATTATATTTGTCGTCTATTTTTTTTGAAACAAATATGCTTTAAATATATAGTTACTGAAAAGTTTGGTCGCCAAAAATTTATTTTCAGCGATTAAAAAATATTTTAGTCGCTGTATAGTTAGTTTTGGCTACTAAAACAATTTAGTCGCAGAATAAAAAATAAAAAATTACCTTTTATCTTTGGCGACCAAAAGTTTGGTTAACAAAAATTTATTTTCAGCGACTAAAAAAAATTTTAGTAGCCAAAAAACTAAAATTTTTGGAGGGAGACATTTTAAATTTTGAAGGGATTTATAAAACTAATTGGTGACCAAAATGTTTAGTCGTCAATTGTGTAAAATGACCAATAACCATATATATATATATATATATTTTTTGTTTCCAAACCAAACCCTAAACAGACCAACGCCTCTCTCTCTCTCTTTCTTCAGCGTCTCTCTCCCTCTTCTTATTTTCTACTCATCTTCTCTCCCTCTCTATCGCTAGAGATGGCAATGGGGGTTAATGGAATGGATATTAATTCCCCATCCCCCATTCCCCTATAATAATTTTTCCCTATTCCCCATTCCCTATGGATACTAACCTCTCCATCTCCTAATGGGTTTGGATTTTCCCTAACCCAACATGACCTTCTTTTTTTTTTCCCAAGGTTCAGAACCAAAGATAAATATATATATTCAATCTTATTTTATTTTATTTGGATCAACAACAAAATCAAATACACATTAATTAATTAAAAAATTTGTTTTAAATAATCAAATATAAAATTTTGAGACAATTAAATAAGCTCACAAGAATACGAGATAAAATTGTTTTCATATATTTATATAACAAAATCAATCTGGGTTAAAGGCATTCTAATAAAAATAATGTTGTTGTAATTTGAAGATGTGTCAGCCCATCTTCTCTCTTTTTCTCTTCTCTTTTCTCTCCAGTCTCCAATAACCATGTATATATAGGTGTGTTCCTCTTTGTGTCCACATTGAGTTGCTTTTCTTTAATCCATTTGGCTGTATTGGGGGGATAATGGGCACCCAGATCATGTGCTAGACAATTAGACAGCTATTAGAGTATCTCTAACGCTTACTCAAAAAAAAAATTTAATATTAAATTTGAATAAAAAATTAATGAAAAGTTTCATATGATATTATGTGTTCCAATGCTAATTTTTTAATTTTTATCAAACAACTGGTTGACCAGGAGGTCATCTGACTTATGTAAATTTTCATCAAACATTTAGTTGATTGGGAGGACAACCGGCTGGTCATCCGGTGTACGGTGAAGCCTCTGCAAAAGTAACGGCTATCTGTAAAAATTTGATGAACGATGAAGCCTCCCTCAATTTGATGAATTTTTTTATTTTCCTTTCATTTGATATGGGTTTGATGCCATGGTTGGAACAACAAAAGTGTGCGTATTTTAACAAATTTAAATTTGATGAAAAATCTAAGTAAAAGTTTGAGATGCTCTTATTGGAGTAGAAAAATAAATAAATATATGCATTTATACTTAGGGCTTGTTAAGGAAATGTTTTTTTAGTAATTTTGTTAAATGATGATCATCCCAATATTTTGAAATCCCTTGCTGGCAACGTTAATCAGTCGAGAACATTACCAAAATTTATGTTCGTGGCCTCTACCCAAACCGTAGAAACACTTGGAAATGAAATTTTGTGACTTGGTCATAAGAGAGAGAGAGAGAGAGAGAGAGAGACTATGAGTTTAGGCAAAAACTCTGTTTTGAAAGAGAATTAGGTAAAAGGGGTACCAATATGGAGGGAGGAGTGATCCGCGGTGTCATTTCTAATTTCCATAATTTGAATATAGGTAAAATCATATTACTATTATATAATATAAGTAAAAGTGTTGTAGCCTCTTTGAAGTTGAAAGTCTCACTCTAATTTTCTCAATTTTTCTGAATTTTATAACACTTAAAATACACGTCATTCTATGATTAGCTCAAAATATAATTTATAGGGTAAATTATGCAAATAGTCCCTGTAATTTACACGATGTGTCAATTTGGTCCATATAGTTTCAATTTGCTCGATTTTGCCCCTTAATTTAACGGATTGTGTTATTTTAGTCCAATGAATAACGGTTGTTAAGTTAATTTAACGAAAGGTCAAACAATGTGTCAATTTGGTTCCTGCACTTTACATGATGTGTCAATTTGGTCCCTGTAGTTTCAATTTTCTCGATTTCGACAGGGACTAAATTGACACATTGTGAAAAATACATGGACCAAATTGACATATTATTTGACTTTCTAGTTAAATTAACTTAACAGACATTATTTATTGGACTAAAATGACAAAATCCGTTAAATTAAGGGGCAAAATCGAGCAAATTGAAACTACATAGACAAAATTGACACATCGTGTAAACTACTAGGACTATTTACATAATTTTTCCTAATTTATATTAATTAAGATAATTTTTAAATCCTCTAAATCATTACCAAAATTTATTAGTAATGCTTCCTTAAATTTTCTTCTTCTCGATAAAAAAAGATTTGCATCATTGTTGTTTAAAAACGATTCAGATTCTCCTACTAATCTAACAGCAACACTCTAGCTTCAAAGCCTTTATTTGATCAGTGCTCCCAGCTCAATCAATCACCCATGAAAATTTCACATAAAAACTAATCAAATTAAGTGCACCACCACAAGTCCATGACCCTATTTCCTCATTTTACCTAGAATATTCTCAAACATACCATATTGCCATTGCCACCAATCTCACTTCAAAAGTTCCAAACTTGAACTCTAAATAATCAAGCTGTTGAATATTCATTATTACATTGCTGTTGAATTTCCAGAAATTTCTTTAAGACAAAAATCAACAAAAATAAATTCGAGATTGTGCCTTCATCAATAAAATTGATTATATAATTAATCAAACACAATGCCTAATGGAAACAAACCTGCTGGAAAAAGAATTAGAGTAACAAACCTGCTGGAAATATACTTGTTTCACCCAAAAAAATTAATTCTCAAGAAAGAGAATTAGACACCTCAAAAAAATACTAACAAATTCAGAAGAAACTCAGAAAAATATACTTGGTTTAAAGATAAAAATACCCTCAAAAAAATATACTTGCTGGAAATATAGAAGAAGATTCTTCACCTGAACAATATACCAGATTCTTTTGGTTTACTCTCTTGCTGAAAATATACCAGATTCTTCCTTTAGATTCGTCATTTGCAGTGGCTCCATTCAGTCGTCGTTGCCATTGTTAATGAAGATTGGGATGATAGAGAGAGAGAGGGAGGAAGAGAGAAGACGAAGAGAGTAATAGGGGGTTCGGGGTTGGGTCTCCGGCAAGAGTTGGGCTCCAATAGGAATTGAAGAAGAGCACAAGAATGGGCTCCAATGGAGAGAGAGAGAGAGAGAGAGAGAGAGGGCCTGTGCTCAAATTTTGAAATTTGGAAGAGAGACAGATTTTGAGATGAGAGGAGTAGGTGTGAGAGAAATTTTGGAACTTGCATTTTGAACCATCAGATCTTGATGTTTATTGATCTTCACCATTGAAATGTTCAAATAGGACAAATGAGAGTAATATATTTTCAGCCATTGGATTTAATCCATCTAACAGTCCATATGTTGACAGATATACATTTTGAACCCTTGAATTCAAACCAAGCCTTCCATTGTTATATAGATTGTTCAGATAATTTTTAATATAACTGTTTTATAACTTCAAAAATGATAATAATAATGCTTGGATAAAAATGACATTAAAGAACAGAGGTTATTTTTTAGTTTACGTAATTGTCTGTACTTTTCTTTTTGAGAGAGAGAGAGAGATTGGGTTGGTAATACAAAATCTAATTAGAATGCCGAATGGATGATGAATTTCACTTACTCGTTCATTTGAGATATGTACAGAGATCACATGAATTATAATTTTATTTGCATTTGCAATACATTTCATTTGAATTTGGAATAATTTAAGCTTAATTTCAAATTTAACTTTCCAATTTCTCCTCTTTCAACCCTCCAATGGGTTAATCAATAGAGCAGTTGTCAACACATTAGTAACGAAGCACATGTATTGTAATGAACATTTCAAACTAAAGTGAACATTAACGTTTAGGTCATAGGCAACATGTCTTCAACTAAAATAAATCAATAGCTCTATCTGTTTTAATTCTATCCATTAATCACCAAACCAGATGTGTTATATTGTACATGTACTTGAATTCAAGGACACTGGAAACAAGAATGCAATAACAATGATAAACAAAAATGGGATTTCAATTCCAACCCTTTATTACTGTCGACCGCACTGTCTTCCCAGCAAATCATCATAGTATGAAAGAGAACAGACCTCTATTTTAATCTGTTAAAGGGGTCTGCAGCGATGAAGCGAAAGAGATAAACCTTCTTCTTTCACCAACATTTCTTCCCTGGCAATCTCGAAGCTTGAGCTTACCTTTGGAACCTAACGAAAGAACTAAAAATATTTGACAGATGTAGTGATATTTACTAGCTACAAGTATAAATGACATGATGTGCTGCAATGGCCATCTACTGCTCCTCTGAGTTGAATCCGTTCCAAGCTTCCTGAACACACACAAAACAAAAACAATAAATAGAAAAGTACTGCAACGATTATCAAGAACTATTAGTTACTTCAGACCAAACTTGAGTAATTTGTTTGGATGTAATTTGAGTTAAATGACGCTCATGGCAAAGATCAGTCCATTACATTGGGGGTTAAAGAGGGACAAAGTTACTATAACATTAAAGGTCCATCTCATACTGTCATAACTGAAGCTTGAACTTGGCTAGTACTCTTTTCGTTCCATTTTATTTATTTATTGGGGGTAATCAGATGTTAATAAGTGAATAATGATTAATTAACCAACGAATCATTTTTACTATTCAAATTTTGATGCCAAAACTGGGCTTCATGTGCATAAGACATTTCATCAAGTAAATTATCGTATCAACGCATTCCTTGAATACGACCTCCATTTTTACAAAACTAGCATGTATGGAGAAGTAGTAAGTACAATTATAGTATAATCTCAATTACCAAGGTATTCATGTAGTTAAATAAACTATAATGCCAATACAAGAAAACTATATCAAGCTCAACAGTAACATTTTTGTAGTAGTAACTTGGGAACAAGCATCCGTTTATCAAGCTTTAGAGAGAGAGAGAGAGATAGAGAGAGAGAGAGAGATTATTATATGCTCACTTTCACCTATATGTAGCATGGAGAAAGGCTTTATTTCATAGTTTTTTAGAACATAGTCATTGATCAAATTGGTAAAAGAAAGCGAAGCCAGTAAAATACCTTCAGAAGATCAAAAACCTTTTCACATATATACTTTTGCTGAACACTTGCACCACGTTGTTGTAATTTGTCAGGGTGAACACATAGAGTGGCTTTCTTGTAAGCTTTCTTAACAATCGCAGAAGTAATAACTTCAGCCAAGGGAATTCGCTGCCAACCACTATCAGGCCCAAGGATCTATGGATGATGAAAATGTAATTTAGAGCACAAGCAAATGGAAAATTACAGAAAAAGGAATCAGTCAGTGTAACCAAGCAAGGATGAGGATCAATATTGTAATACTGAACTATGTCGATCTCGATCATCTATTGAACTACACATATGAACGAGGAAGAGAAATGAAAGACTCTGACTACATCTATTAGCAGACAATAATTGATATATTGATGCAGAATATGGACCTTGGACAGGCCACATCTCCATGTATTAGTTTTCAGGGGCAGGATATTCAAAAAATATTCTGTGCCAGCAGCAAAATCCTCACTCTGGCCAATAGTTCAATGCAGATGAAGTAGCATGAGAAAGAGTAATTTCATTTCGTTCTATGCCTTCTTCATACTAACATACAATACAAGAAATTACAGCTTTGCCGACTAATTTTGACGACTAAACTCAATTTAGTCGCCAAAGGTGTATACATTAGCTACTAAAAATTTTTTGGTCGCCAAAGGTATACACATTAGCTACCAAACATTATTTGGTCGCCAAATAAAGATGTATTAGCTACCAAACTGTTTTGGTCGGTAAATGTGACCTACGTTGCTACTAATGTGGAAATTTATTCAAGTAGGCTTCCATTGCCCTACCATATGATTTGTTCTTTCCTACTTAATCTGATCCAAATCTCAAAACTATTTTTTCTGGTGCAATGATTGATTCATCTATGTAGTTAAACTCAACCATTTATCAAAGCAATGGCATTTGTCAAATCTCCATGTATTAATTCTTCTGGTTGCCCAGCAAAAATTGACCACTTTCTTGAATATGTTTAGATCAGTCTGATCTAAACATATTCAAGAAAGTGATCGATTTTTGCTGGGCAACTAGAAGAATTAAGCACTTGGGAATATATAGCAACTAAATTGATAGGATTCCCACTGGCATGGCTTGTAGCTAAAAAAATTGACACTAACTTTACAAAGGCTTCTACCCAAAATTATATTTTCACTTTTTAATGAAGTACATGTCACAGCTAAAAACACTTCAATAGCTCCTAATGCACTGAATGCTGTATAAATGCAAATGAAACACACAATGCATGTTTTTGTGAAAGAAGGATTAAGGTTAATACATATTGCAGTGTCGAAAGTAATGCACGCAAGTTCGCTTCTTTCCCACTCGACCATCTCTTCACTTCAGCATCAAGAGCTTCGACCAATCTCTGCAAGCATATATTGATATGAGCCATGGAAATGCAAAGGTAACTCATGATTCTGAAAATTACACTTATGAAAAGATGTTTACATTTCTCTCTGCTTGCTCTCTTTGAGCAAGAAGATCACGCATGTTCTTCTCTGCTAGAGCTTTTGCCTGCAAAGGTGACAGGTATAGTTTTAGTTCATAATGTTAGATGCAGATATAACTTTACCAATTCTATGAAAGGATGAAAAAAAAAATAGAAAAATTAGACACATACAACACGTTCAGTAGTTCTTCGATGCCTCTCTAACCTTGCTTTACACCTCTGAGCTGATTCACCTTCAACTCCTACAAATCTCTCAAGTGTTATGGCAAACTTCTTACAGAAAATATATATCACAATTATAAGCAAAGCAGAAAAGCGTTGAAGGTTGATGAAAAAGTAGATTTAGTAAAACAGCAAAACTCCATATTGTACGAAAAATCATTGTTGGTGGTGTCTTACAAGATTCCACATGCAAGTAAATTATTTCTAATGCTTCACATATCGCGTACCACCATGAACTGAAGAATATGAATAAATGAGACCGATGGAAGACCCAACGCCCTGAGATTGCACATCCTGCCATTTACCATCTGTTAATAGGCTGTTAGGCAAGCACTTCATAAATCACATCATTGAAGGATATACTCACAGAAAACGAAGAGCTTTGTCTCATTCCACCATTTTGGTAACAAGCAGAGGACTTATCAGCCACTGATCTTTCAACACGTTCTCGAGCCTCAAAAGCAGCCTTCTCAGCTATGACTTTTTGGAAGCACGCTATCGAGCCTCCGCAGTTGCTCTCTCTACTGCAGCACGCTCTGCCCTGAGCCTAGCCTCCATAGATGTCTTCTCCTCCATAGATGTCTTCGGTTTTAATGGATCTCTTTTTTTCCTGTAGAAATTCAATGAGACAAAGATTAGAGAGAGAGAAGAAGAAGAAGAAGAAGGGGGGAGAGAGAAATATAGAGAAAATTACTGAATTTACTTTTTCAACTGAAGATGCTGCTCTTCCTCCAACAGCCTCATGGCGTCAGTTGTGAACGCCAAAAATGGAGACATTGGTTGCTGATCCCTTTCTTTCTTGCTCTTCCTCCACTGATCTTTGAGCCATATGATTTGAGGGAAACCTTTCTTCTTCTTGTCTTTCTTTTCTAGCTCTTTCTCTCTATTCTGTTTTCAAGAAAATGTATGAACATTTAGGGGGAAAAATAAACCCAGAATCATCAACTCTGAACCATCAATCTGGGTTCAGTTTCTGAGAAAATGTAGGAAAATTACCCTTTCTAAAGCTCCTTCATTTTCCCTACATTTTCTCAGCAACTAAACATCGTATTGAAGAGGGAAAAAAAAAACGAACCATGGTGGGTTTGAACTCTTTCATTTTCTGCAACTTCTTGAGCACCGTCTAAAGCTTTTCTCGCTCTTTCCTCCTTGCTTCAAGCTCCTCCTCCTTCATCTTCAAAGTTTCCTCTCTTGCCTTTAATAGCTCCGTAGTTTGCTCCTTCTCGATCCTCAACTGTTTAAGCTTTTCTTGCATTTCTTGCAACTCCTTCTCAAAAGATTGATTTCGTTGTTGTTGTTGTTTTGCTTTCGTCCCTGCTTTCTTAGCTTTCTTGGCGGATTGAGGCCATGAGAGGCTCTCATGGTTTTCGAAGGTGGTGGTGGTGGTTGGGATGGTGGTGGTGCAGGAAAGGAGGGGGAGGATGCCGGAGTACCAAAAGGCGGCAAAAACCTTATTCATCTTTGAGAGAGAGAGAGAGAGAGAGAGACTGTGTAATCGTGTGTTCTGAAAGACAATTAGGTAAAAGGTAGTAGTGGTGTCACCAAAAGGCAATGAACCTATATATGAATGAAGTGGTGCAATATGGAAGGAGAGTGATTAGCGGAGTATCCTAATTTGTTTTTCGAAATTATTGGCTCGAAATTAACCCGGGATTGATATCCTAATTTATTGGCTCGGAATTGATATCCTAATCTATCCTAATTTCCATAATTTGGATGATTCTTATTTTAAAACTTATTAGGTAAAATATTTATATAAAAAATTAGAATAAATTACACTGACACCCCATGAGGTTTATATTTATTACAGTTCTTTTCTTACATTTGAAAAATTACACTGACCCCCCTGTTAATTTAATTTTATGTGTAAAGATCATTACAGTGAGGGTAACTGTTATGCAACTTTAAACCTCATGGGACAATTTGTAATGAAACTTTAAACCTCAGGGGGGAGATGTAATTTCCCAAAGGTGAGGGGGAACTGTAATAAACATAAACCTCATGGGGTGTCAGTGTAATTTACCCTTAATTTTTTGGATAAATTATATTAACACCCCCTGAGCAATTTAATTTTTTTAAATATCAATTTTGCCCTCACCGGGTTAATTACATTGACATCCCTCACATTTTAGAAATTACAATCCCTCCCTAAGGTTTAAAGTAGCATTACCAATTGCCCTATCGGTTAGTATTAGTTGGAAAAAAAAATTCATTGAAAAAAAAATTTTAATTGGAAAAAAAATTAATTGAAAAAAAAATTTGTTAGTAAAATTTTTAAATTTTTGTTTAAAAACCAACGTAAACTCATTTTTTAAATTTACATTTTTTTCTCAAATTTACAAACTGAGACAATCATTTATAAACTAAAAAAAATTATCAAACAAGTTTTTATGACAGTTTTTAAAATTTTTGTAAATATAAATTGAAAATTGAAAAAAAAATGGTTACCAAACAGGCCTTAAATGGTAAAAATGTCGCAAAATTAACAAATACTTAAATAAGTTACGCTTATCAAAAGATTCTTACGGTATGCATGGTTTGATTTTTAGAAAAAAAAAATTAAAAATTAAAAACTAATTTGGTTAAGAAATAAAAAATAAAAAATAATTATCATTGTAACTTTTGAGTAGGTTATATAAATACGTATGGTCGTTTCAATTTAATTTGTAAAAAATTATTTATAACCACTTGAAAGAGGAGATCGACGGTGATTGTCGATGATGGTGGCGGCGCTCGATCTCCTCTTTCAAATTCTTTTTTTTTTTTTTCTAAGTAGATCTGGATCCGAAAATAAAAATAAAATTTTTTGATGATGATAATGTGTTGATGATGATGATGAAGATGTTGTTGTTGATGTTGATGAAGATGTTGTTGATGAAGATCTTCCTTTGATCCTCTGAAACTCTGTTTTCCCTCTCCTTTTTTTTTTTCTTTTTTTTTCCCTAAGTAGATCTGGATCTGAAAAAATAAAAATATAATTTGATGATGATGATGTTGATCAAGATGTTGTTGATGAAGATGTTGGTGAAGGTGTCCAGCTCCAGCTCCAAAAAAAATGAGAAGATGTTGTTGATGAAGATGCCAAAATGACCATGGGTGATCAGCACTCCAAGTGCTTCAGAAAAAACGAGAAAAGAAAAAAAAAAAAAAAAACCAAAACGGCACTGTTGCATACTCCGGCCATTCGAGCCACATACCTTTCGAGCTACTAAACGAGATTGAATAACCTATTCCTAAACGAGGCCTAAACCCTAAAATAAATTTTTTTTTCTTGGTACACCCAGACCACTTATATCTATTCTTCATATGCAAGTCTTTTCATCTTTTTTCCAAAATTTTAATTATTTTTTTTCATCTTCTTCTTCACTCACCCTCACCAAAAATCATTATTATCATTAGTATGGTTGTTTTTTTTGATGTGTTGTTACTTGTAAATAGAATTTTTTTTGATTAAAATCAAACGATAGATAAAAATAATAATCAAAACTTGGGATTAAATATGGCTTCAATTTTTGACTAGATCTCATGTAACCCGATCTCATTGAATCTTTGAAATCTGGGTTGCTTCATTTGATTGTTTTCCTCGTTTCATGTTGCTTTTGCCATTCTTCCCCTTTTTCTTTCTGTTTTGTTGTTCTGTTGTGTGCCCTGTGTCCACTGTTGGAATCTGTCCAAAGTGGCTGAGTTGGGTTGCTTTCTTTTCTTGTATGGTTGGTTGAACTTTGATGTATTTTTCTATTATTTTATCATAGGAGACATGTATTTACATAAATATTAAAATATAATGATTAATTCTTGTATTTTTCAATTATAAACTACCCTAATTAATCATCAAGAAAATACACAAAACTGTGGATTTAATCATCAAGAAATCATTTTAAGTCTATTATTTTCTATCATTTTATCTTCATCTAGACGATCATCGAATAGATTCACATAACTAAGATAATTAATATCACAAAATATGGCTAATTTGGATATACTCTTTATCAATTGCTTAACCTTGAGACTACCCTCAAAATATCAATGAACACTTTATAGGATTTTATATATACTGAATATACAGTAATTTTTATTTTTTCTTAAAAAATTCACAATTGAAACAAACAGAGAGCAATAAATATTAAATTATGTACAATTAATAGTGATGGGTTTAATTGATACTGAGAAATCTATATGTGAACAAAAGGAATAGTTATAAGGAGAAATCTGTTTAATGATTTTTGAAAGGATTTTTCAAAATGGTGTAATTTTGAATCTTGGATTTGTTTATTATTTGAGTGTACCTTCAAAGATAATTTGAGAGAAAAATAAGGTGTATTAAAAGTAAATTACAACTCTAAATAATTTAATAAAGTGTATTAAAATTATTGATTGGTCCTGAGAGGCAATGTGACTATATCTTAAATCAATCACAATTTATCATATTTTTTCATATTCTTCAATTACCCAATACAAATTTATAAATCTTACTTTTTTTATCAATCACAATATCATTAAAGCACCACCTAAGGATATCCAATTTATAAATCTCACTTCTTTTATCAATTACAATATCATTAAAGCATCACCTAAAAATACCCAATTTATAAATCTCGCTTCTCTTATCAATCACAATATTATTAAAATAACACCTAAAGATACCTAAGACCAATTGTCCATGCACATTCATCATGACTCTCCATTGTGTCCCAATCAAATAAAAAATAATAATAAAATAAAGAAAAATGCCTAAGACCCCCAGTGGGGGTTACTGGGGTCACCCCTGATTGGCTAAATTTTTTTTTTTTTTTTTTTTTTTTTTTGAACTTCAGCCACTGACAGTGTGCCATGTGACACTGGGAGTACCAAGTCACTGGGAGTTTCTAGCATTGTTGTAAAATAAAAAGTCTGCACGGTGACCACATACATTTATCTTTAGTACTCTCTTTTATTTGGTACTAATAGTATCGGTGTCAATTTGGTAATAGGCTCCTTTGGCGATTAAGTTAAGATTTAAAAAAAAAAACTAAAATATTATATTGACTTTGTTTGGCTTGAGATTATTTAACTAAAATAATTAATAAATAAAAAATAGATAAAATGTTACAGGTAATTTATAATTATTTATTTTTTCTTTTACAATCATCAAATCAATTAACAAAAAAAAAAAATTTATATCTTACAATTATCAAATCAATTACAAACACAACTTATTTTTTTTAACTAGACTGAAATAGTCAATTAAAATAGCCTATTTTCAAATAGGGTCATTAATTAAGTATTTTTTCTCTTAATTATTTATTTCATTAAAAAAACATTTAAAATATTTTATTATTTTGTTTTTAAAAAAAAAATCACAAAAAAGTGTAAATTACCAATCGGGTACAATATCTATTTGTTATGCGTTTGCATGGTTAAAGAGGTAAATGAACGTGGGGTTGAACTATGGATACACATTGTTGTCTTTTTTTATAATTTTTTTTTATTTTTTTTATTTTGACAAAAATGCAACAAGTTTTACGATTGTAATATAATTATATTAATATTTGTTTTTTTAAATATCTTGTCAAATAAAACTTTCATTATATGCTTAACTTGGAGAATATCCAATTAAAAAAGAACTTTAAAAAATACTTGTTACATAAAATTTATCTTAATCATATATTATTATGGGTCTAGTTATGGTGCACCAACAACATTTTTTATGTATCATGTGAAAAAAGAGATTAATTTAATAAAAGGAATTACATATTACAAGTAGACTCTAATTTTAGTGGTAACTAGATTATATTTTTATCTTATTATGTGTGATAAGCAAGCTAAATTTGAGTAATAAGCAAAATTATATTATGTAAAATTTAATTTGAGTGATAAATAAGATCATGAAAATACTTTATTTTTAAAATTTTATTTTACATATTATCAATTAAAAGATATAAAATTTATTGTATTTAAGGATCACTCGAATTGGGCCATTTTGCTGACTAAAGTCTTATGCTTGAGTCCCATCAGATCTAGATTCATATCTTCTTTTATTTTTTTGTTGAACTAATGAGTGGTGTTTTGGAAAGACGATAAAAAGTTAACTTATTAATTTTTTTTGTAATTTTTTTAATT